GCCTTCGTGCTATATATCAGATTGCGATCAGTTTGACAACTGCTGGATCTGTTAAATAAAGCAGCTGAACAACACACTTCGAGATATCAGCTCTGCAGCAAAACAGAGTCTGACATTTCCTTGGCTTTCTTTGCACAGTTTGACATTTAGTCCTCCAATAGCCACCCCGCCAATCTCTGCCCAACGATCTTATTATATGTAACAGCTGGATAAGGGAGCTGCATTGACAGCAAGAATTAGATTTGTTCCCACTAAGGTTTTGCTGAACAGTTTTCAGGGTCTTGAAGATAATACAGGGGCTCAGGCATATGTGTAGGTCAGACACACAGCATGGTACTGAGTGCTGGAGGCAGTTGCTATGGAGACCAAAGAGAACAAGTGTGCACCTCTTGGATGTCCTTCAGACACTTGGTCCAAAAACTGTGTTGGTCCAAAAAGCTGTAATGGCTGAATTCCATGTTTGAGGGTTTTCAGCTGCATATAATGAGGGATTGGGACCAGATCTTAATTATATTAGAAAAAAAGGCATAGGGTGAATTGCAGTCTCTTCAGTTTGAATCCCACCCTTTCCCCAAGCCATCCAATCCTGGAGATGTAGATTTCTTCATCAAGTCAAGAAATAGATAATTATTGGAAGTATAAATTAAGACTTTTTTTTTTTTTTTTTTACCAGAAACCATGATTTAAAGCAAACCGTTAAGGTTACATCTTATGTAATGCACTATTTTATTGCCTTTTTATTCTGGTCATTTGTATAGGGAGGGCCACATGCAGTGCAGATTTACATTGTACAAGCAGGCAGGCTAATCACTGCAGCTGGCAAGAGGGTTGCTCTCATCCACATTATCTCATGCTCAAGTTTGTTCAACCATTGTTGACAGGATTTCCTCTAGTCTCCCCATTTCCCCTTACGACAAGGACTTCTTTATTCAGTCCTCTTTAAAATATGATACGTTTTGTCTGCTTAACCCGGCTGTAACACTACTACTGTATACTTCCCCTTCCTTTTTCTGAGTTATGCCACATTTAGAACTTGATGTCATTTCTTTCGAAAGGTGTAAGTTGCTGCTGAACTTAAAGCATCCTGTTTGTTTCTTCTGAAAGGAAACACATGTAGCGTTCCCAGAAACCGAGAGATATCTGCAAACATTTCAAATGAGACTTACTGAGGCTTATCTTTATGCAAACTGAGGGTACAGGTGACACAGGACATTCCATTTGGCTTTACAGTATGCTGTGACACTCACTATCCAAACACAGTCTCTGCTGTCCCAGCACCCAAACAGAAGCGAGGCCCTTGCTTTGTTGTTGTTGCAAAGCCCAGCCTTTTGAAGCGGTCCAGTCATGGTCCCATGATGCTGGGAGAGCTCACTCAGCTCGACACTCTGCAGGGTGAGGCAGAGCTCGGCCAGAGATACACAACGAGGACACAGTCCTAGCAACCTCCTAACTTTATTAAGTTTATTAGACAAAGGGAAAGAATAGTTGTTTTGGGGAGAATTGGGTTAAAACACAAACTTACTATTTTTGTCACCCGCAGATAATTTGTACAAATATTCAACAGTTGCAAGGGGATAACTAAGAAAATACTAAATATATAAAAGCAATATTGATAAATGAGACTGACAGAACCTTAGTGTCAAAATAAGCTGTACAAAAAATGGTTCAACGTATTACAAAGTGGTGGTACCAGGGATGAAGGGCCCCTTTGACTGCAGAATGTGGTGGGTCTTGTATAGCCTTTGGTTATTAGCACGTTGCTTTTTGTTATTTGACAGAGTTCAGCTCCAGCCAACCAGGAGACGAGCTTCATCATGCTGAGACAACACACACAAATATA